ATATACGCAATTTCTGTCAATTTTTACTACGAAAATAGTAAAATTTACTATAGTTCTGAAATAATTTTTACTATTTCAGCAGTAAATTGTGCTATTTTCGATGTAAATTTTACTCCTTCTAGAGTAAAAAATTGACAGAAATGCGCAGAAACTGCGGACAGTTCTTGTTTTACTTTTAAATTATAATAAAAGTTACTTTATTCGTTTTTCTATTTTTCTCCTTGCAGGTGAAATAAGGATGATTTGAGTATATTAACCCCTGAATACTAAGGGATTTTTTTCAAAATATGAAAAAAAAATAAGAAACAGATAATTTTAAAATTTGTCCGTTTTTTGAAAAAAAAAATACCCTTGGTATTAAGGGATTAATATACTTAAAACATCCTCATTTCACCTGTAATCAGAAATATAATTTTTCTTTGATGGAAAATAAATTTCAATAATTTAGTCAAAAATTTCAAGGGGGCGGAAAAACAGGCTTTTATCGACCCTCCTCCTTTCAGTTCTAATTATTATTTTTTCAAACAAATTTTTTATCGCAAATTGACAAAAAAATTATGTTTTTGAAAAACCAAATTGCATTTTTAACTTATTGCACGTTCCCTACCAAAAATTGACAGAGTTCACTACTGGCTCGGTATTGGTACCATAGTACTGCGCCAGTATTCAATTTCTAATAGAGTTTTTTTCAGTGACCTTGAATCAGGCTTTAAAAAATAAAAAAACAAAACAACTAAAGAATAAATTTGTGAATTTTCATCACCTTTTGGGCTTTTTTTTTTGTTTTGAGTAAATTCCTTTGAACTAAACTAACTGAAGCTTAAATTAGCTTTATCGGTTCCGGGATTTGAGGGAACACTATTGGGGTTATATTGCTCATGGCATATACAATCTCTCTGAGGCGGTTAATGATTGAAAGTACACCGTCATTGGCAGTCAGTCTCTCTCTCTCTCTGGGGATCGAATCAGCTTGAAATGGATGATAGCAGTAATATATATGCAATGTATATCTTTGTTATATAGCGTAGCAGGGTGCGCGCGTGTAACTGCTTATCGTTGGCTCAGATTTAGAGACTCATATATGGAAACAGGGTTTCGTCTGTAGATTAGAGAGAACTGAGTATTCATTATTCTCTTACAATGGCCGACGAGCTTATTCACTGTTTAGCGAAATTCACTCTACGTTCGCTCTTTTACGACAATGCTAAATTGAGGGTACGCCCTGCTATCACCAATTCGATCAACGTCCCTCGTTTTTCACGTTCTCTCTCTCTTTTTTTTTTTTTTTTTTTTTTTTTGCTTTTTTTAAACTTCCACGTTCTCAAACTCTCGTTGATTGACAAAATTTTACTAGATTAAAAGCAGACCTTATGCAATTGAAATTAGCTTTTGAATCGCATGACCCATTTTTATTTAACTTTTTTTTTTGGAAAGATTACTTTCATTAGTTACGTATTACTTAATTTACTATTTATTTTACAGGTGAAAACTCCAAATGGTCAACATTTTATTTAATCGACACTCAAAAAAGACGATTATTTAAATTGGTCCATACTGGCGTTACGCGTATTAAAGTTTTATAATAATGTGTTTTTCCTATATAACAATCACATTTGTAATACCAACAATCAGAATTGAATTACTAACAAATTTGTCATCCAAAAATTGCCTCTTGCTGTTCAGCGCTAAAAATGGTTTTTCATAGGCGACCAAAAATGTCAAATTCTTTTCTTTTAAGATTTTCGGTCCAAACAAATGCCTTAAGAAATACTTTTCAAGGTATTATGTGGATCCAAAAACCTTTTTAAAACCAAATTGATATTTTCTGTCCCGTGAAAAATAATTTTTAACACTGAGCGTCGACGCCAACTTCGTCGAAATCAAAAATACCTCCATGAAGTTGACGTCGACGTCCAGCGTCGAAAACTATTTTTCACGGGACAGAAAATATCAATTTGGTTTTAAAAAGGTTTTTGGGTCCACATAATACCTTGAAAAGTATTTCTTAAGTCATTTGTTTGGACCGAAAATCTTAAAAGAAAAGAATTTGACATTTTTGGTCTAATGAAAAATAATTTTCGACGCTAACTTAATGGAATTAAAAATTGTTAACACAACAACACTGCTTCTCTCCTTGTGCATATTCTAAATTTCAGAATATTTTTAATTCGTTGTGTTATTATAGCTTAACTTTTATTCCACGTTAATTTCTTGTATTTTAAATTCTAGTTTCTTAACAAGGACAAGAAAATAATTTTTGAAAAATATTAATTTCGTTAAAATTACTTGGATAATAATAATAATTTGCGGTTCTTAAGAAGCATGTCAGTAAAGTTAGATATTGTCTTGAAGTGGCCCTCTATTTTATTTTCTAAATAGACAAATAACTTGTAAATTTACAATGCAAAATAATTTCCTTGGGAACAGCCTTGAGTCACGGTTTCAGCAGGGTAAAAAAAACCATATATACATATATGTCACTTTGTAGACCTTTTCTTTGAAGATAAATTCAACGATTGGTATTCCTGGCACGTCAATAAAAGTCACACACGTTTGTAAACATGTATTCCAACATTTTTCTTTTTCCTCCGCCCTTTTTCTTATATATATATATATATATATATATACAATATTCGATTTTTACCATTGATTGCCAGTCACCCGCGAAAGAATTGCAAATTCACTACCGCAGAAGAAAAAGAAAAGTAAAGTTTTTTCGCATTTTTTTTTTTTTATTAGAAGTACACCGAAAAAAAATTCTGAAGTTTAGAATATATACTTAAGACCTATTTTAGAATGTTTTTTATACTATGTATTATTCTAATTTTAAGAATATTACAGACTGAATTTAAGTATATAAAATATTTTAAAATAGTTATTAAATTTAGAAAAATTGAAATTTAGTTCCAATCTCAAAAATTGCAAATGTTTCAATTTCATTGGCTTAAATTTTTTTGTCCATCCAATGAAATGTTATTAACACTTTTCGAGATTGAAACTATTTTTTTTTTTTTTTGTAAAAATTCGAGTCCGATTTCTAACAGTGTAAAGAATGCGCTATTCAAAATCAATAAGCGACTTTAGTATTTTGCCTATATTTATAGGTCATATATAACCGTGTAGGGGATTATTCTAATAAATCTCTCAAAACTGGACATTTTGATTATTTGTGGTTTTCTGCAAGGACACGTTCACGTTGAAGGCAGACCCTTTCCGACGGAATATTTGTGTGTGTGTGTGTGTTTGTTGGTGTGGACAAACCATCTGTAACCCGTCGCAACCCTGTTATGGATAGTTTGTTTTAGGAGGCGAACTATAAATTATACGTGCCTTCTATACCATGATAGCTATATATATATATAAAATATCCACTTAGAAAACCCCCAATGGAGATGAAGAAGGTTCGATCCGCTTCTTTGGTTGGGGGAAAATCTTACACTTTATTGGCCACTTCTATTCTCAGGAGATTTCCATATCTTGCCTCTCATTGGCCAATCGCATTTCAACTCTTCCATCACGTTCATCCATATAACGTAATGTTTATGATGTGTTCAATAAACAAAATCCATCTTCAGATTATTTGTGACTCTCTACGAGAGAAAAAAAGGTTAGGTTAAAAGAAAAATTTAGGTTATGTTTGTGAATTCAATAAAAACTATTAGAAACTGTTTAAGTATCACTAAACATAACCTAAAATTTTTGAGGTCCCTTCTTTAATTTAAAGAATAACTAATGAAAAATTGAAATTCTTTATTCGATTTATAAATGGGAAAACTATATAATGAAGCAGGAAATTCTTGTATATATATATATAAAGTTCGAGTTTGCATCGCACAAAGGTTGCTTGTCAAGTTTCGATGTAATTAAGAAGTTTCTTCACTATTTCTCCTCTCTTGAGTTGGTGAACTCGTTCTGCAAAATTTCCTGCTTTCTTCTTTTCTCTCGTTTATAATATACAAGACTGCACGACAAGAAATTAAATTTCAGTGTGGTAGTTTTAAGTGAAATTTAGCATGTCACTAATCGTCGCACTCGGATTCTTAAAACCGCAGTACAGTGAAGAATGAAATATTACTTGTCGTCGTCGTCGTCGTCGTCATTTTCAAATAGAGAACATTTAACATTTAAACTAAAAAGAGTTTAAAGTGTCATATATATTTCAAAGCTAAAGTATTTATCAAACTAAATTTCGCATTTAAACACGAAATCAACTTTGGTAACTTCCAGAAACAGAACAATGTTTTAAATATTGCAGAATGAAAAACTAAAATATAACTTGTTTAGTTTTTTAATTAGGTAAATTTTATAAAAATAGTTGTAAAATTGTGTGAGTATGTTAAAAATGACTCACACAATTTATGAATGTAAATAGAGATGAGAATTTTCAAGAACGATTCCTCTAAGTGAGAGGGAAGTGGGCGAAGTTTCGAAATTGATTCTGAAATTAGCGTACTGCATGAAAGCACGTCAGAGATGGAAGAAATTAGCCCTCCTCGTTTTGGGAACCCATCGCAGCGTCCAACTAATGGAAACTTGCCAAATTGCCCCAAGCGTACCAAAAGAGAGAGAGAGAGAGAGGGTCCATACCCAGGTGAATGAGTCAGTTTCCGGAAGCATTGCCAACCCTTAAGGACTTACTATTTTATATTCCAAAGTTACGTATATACTCAGCTATATCATCCAATTTCACATTCAAGAGATCGAACGTGACTTTTTGGTATTTTAGAATTCGACAAATATGCAAACTTCGCCTCCTCTCTTGCATATATAAGAACTTGCATAGAAATCTTTTCCAACAGTTTTATTCTCTATATACAAATATTTCATTTTCATCATCTAAATATTATAAAACACCTCGATTTTGAGAAATTTGGGGCTATTAGTTTTTTTTTTTTTTTTTTTTTTTTTTTTTTTTTGGAAATTACTTTAGGATACTTTAGGAATTTTGAATTATTATTTTTTTTTTGCTAAAGAAGATTTTTTCTCTTTTTTGTTTACAGCACATGGTGCAGACAGGGATGGCTGCGCCCTACGGTGGGGGAGTCTTTCCTCCTCCGGTGAATGGGGTCGCAGGGGTTGTGGGTTCAGCAGGTGCTGCTGGAGATGTAAAACCACCACCCCCAGTTCCTGTTAAAGAAGAACCGAGTGGAGCACCACAACAACCAACACCTGGAGGACCACAAGTACCACCTCCAACTGGAGCACCACATACAGCCACACCTGGTCAACCAACTGCAACCAGTTTCAGTCCACCACCACCAACCAATGGTGTTGACCAACAAGCAATTGTAAGTTTTTCTCATTATTTATTTTACTATTTTTTTTTTATATCTAATTTTTGTTTGTATTTAATAATTATATGTGACACTCCACGAGAAAAGGGACCTTATGGTAAAGAAATTTTAGGTTATGTTTAGAGATAGCTTTACCTTGATGAAAAGTTGCTAATTACTCTCTAAATTTCCATTTTTTTTAACTATTTGAATTTGTGATTGACTTTTTGCTTTTTAATTAGTTAAAAGTTACTAATTCAAAAGCAAAAATTGAGTTCAAGACTCAAAACTCAATCAAGGCTTTAAGAAAATTATAAATTTTTGTTTGTTCCAAAAATAGTCAATTTTCGAAAAGACTTTTGTTAGCAAATTTTTTTACACTGAAAAAAAATGTATTTGATTCAAATAATTGATTACTTGACTATATTATCAAATAAATATTTACTTGCATCAAATAATTTTTATTTGAATTAAATAAATTTTATTTGGACCAATATTTTCTGTATTTGAAACAAATACCCATCTCAAATAATAATTATTTGATACCAAGTACTCTCTAAATCTGAATTAGTAAAAATGTTTACTAATTTGAATTAGTGACTCACTTTTTGCTTCAGAATTAGTAAAATTGTACTAAGTATTAGTAACTTTTACTAACAATTCGAAAAATTTTACTAATTCAGAAGCAAAAAGTGAGTCACTAATTCAAATTAGTAAACATTTTTACTAATTCAGATTTACACAGTAAAAACAAAAACTTAAACCGTTTACACATTAAATTAAGCCCATGTATTTTGCATAAGTCTGTCCTTGTCTAGTTTGCCTGACTCCGTTTACACCTAAAATTCAGCTTAAAATATAGGCTGATATCAAGATTTCTTTTTTAGTGTGTAGAGAGTAAACATTTTTTTGATAATAGTCGGAAATAATCGAGTATTTAAATCAAATAAAATACTTATAAAGATATAAGCGATCAAAAAGTAAACAGGGTCAAATTGACCCAGTGTGTAGTTTATGTTTGAAAAAATAGGTGTGAACTCGAAGAGTTTTAAGAAACAAATTTCCTAAATTCAAACAAAAATAAAAAATCCTCTTAAGTTAAAATCAATAAATTTCATACTTGTTTAAATTACAAAAAAATCATAAAAAGAAATTAAAATTATTGAATTATAGAATTCACTTTATATATAATTTTTCAATTATTTTTTTTATATATTACTTGTATATTATACACATAATGTACATTATATTTTTTTTAATTTTTATGGTTTTTAGTACATTTTGAATTCACATACATTTTGTTTAAAAAAAATATACTTTTATGAATTTTAAAATAAAATTTTCAAAAATATTATACACATTTTTCGTATATCAAAAAGTAAAACAACCACTGAATTTAGAATTAACGAATTAATAATAATTAAATATAGCTCTTAATTAAGAAAACAAGTAGTTACTTTTTAATTAAAGCTAAAAATAAATCGTAGCAAAATTATATAAGTCTCTCCTTCTCATAATCTTATATATATATATATATATGTATTTTTACCTCTAAGACTTTTTATGTTTTGCTTCATTTTAAATTATATAAATTCTACTTGTTACTGACATATTTCTGGAATTCTATTTATACATTTTTTGAAAATAACAAATTTTTCTTTTTTTTTAAGTTTGAGACAATTATATAAAATTTTCATCCTTAATTTTTATATAGAACATTTTTTAACTGAACATTTTTGATTTTAGAAAAAAAAAATAGAAATTCCGTTCATTGTGTAAGTTTTAAAAATTTATAGATATAAATTTTTAAACTTTATAATATAAATTTTTTTAAATTTATATAAAGTTTATAAAAAAAAAAAACATTATAAAATTTAAATACACTCATATGAATGACAGCCATAAGGTTTTACATAGTCATAAATTAATGTGTAACAAGTGTCTGGCTCTATTCGTGTACGATATCCATTTGGGCAGAATTCTGAAAATTACAATAAAAATTTATTTATTAAAATATATAATTGAAATTCTAAAATTGAATCACATAGGGGAGACCGAGGAGGAAAGTAACAGAGGAGGAAAGTAACAAAGCTTATAACTTTTAAACAAATTATCGGATAGACATGGTTCAAACATATTTTTAGTCGGCACTGTTCCCCCTTCCTCCTCCATAGTGTGTCCGAGCCTGACAGGAAAGGTTAGGTCTGATTCCGGTGTGACGTGCAGAAAAAACGTCAAAAGTAAGTTTTCGTTCAAATTTTCAAAGTCTCGTATTTCTTTAATTTTATTGTTTTTCAAAATGTACCTTTCGTTATTTTATAGCCTTATTATCTGTCTTTAAGTTGTGCTTAAACAAACAATTTAACATTTGTGTAGTTTTAACTTTTTTGTTGACATACAAGAAAAAAGCGACCGAGGAGGAAAGTAACACGCTACTTTTCTCCTGTTGTCGATATTGTCCATGTTTTAACTAATGATTGAAGCAAATCGTATTTAATTTTACGAATAACAGAGATTTATTTAAGAAAAACCTGTGATCTAGGTAAGCATAAAATATCTTTAAGAAAAAAAATGAGCTAAATTCATAAAATGTTCGAAATATGTGCTAAATATGTCCCAAATATGTGCCAAATAAGTATAAAGTGTACTTAAACTTTTATGTGTTCCTAATAAAAATATTTCTAATTAATAATAGTCATTAGTCTAAAGAATTTTACATAATTTTATACTGTTACTTTCCTCCTAGGAGCTTGTTACTTTCCTCCTCGGGGGTCAGGAGGAAAGTAACAGATGAAGAGCTTGCGTAAAAGTTATACTGTGAACTGTCAATTTATTATAAATGTTTAATTCAAATTTTATTTAAAAGGTGAATGTCCAAGCTTTCATTTAATATATTGGACAAATTTATCCGACAAATATTTTTAATGCTAGCATAAAAAAACTGATTTTTGTTACTTTCCTCCTCGGTCTCCCCTATAATATCAATTAAAATTTTTTGACTAATTGTGAGAATCATTATCGAAAAAGTGATTTTCTAATTATAAGAATATCCGTAAATTTTTAACATAAAAACTTATAAAATAAACAAATAAATAAATATTTTTAGTATTACGGCTAATACTAAATTTTATGATACTTATTTTTGTCCAAAATTTTTATTTAAAACAAACACTGAGACAAAAAAATTTAGAGTTTGCAACAAAATTGTTTGATTAGGCAATTTTTGTTCTTGTAACCAAATTTTGATTGGCTGAGACAATGTCGTAGAGTTATCTCAACCAAACATTTGGTTAGGTCAACAAAATTATTTGTACATTTTTAAATTCCAACCAATATTCGGTTATAACAACAAAATAATTTGGTTAACACAACAAAATAGTTTGGTCTAAAAAATCAAATGATCGTTTGTTGTCCTAATGAAAATTTGGTTGCGACAACCAAATAATTTGATTCGCTCTCAGCTCATAGCTTAAGAGAACAGTTATAGTTTAAATCTCTCACAAGGATGGGTAGTCCAATGGTCAGAGCTCCCGATCTTCATTTTTAAAACAGAGGTTCGATCCCAGGCGGAGATGAGATTTTTTAAAGTCCACAAATATTTCAATTGGATATAAATATAAATTCAATGTTAAATTGATAATAAATAAATAATGAAATGAATAGAAAAGATAAAAAGAAAAGAGATAAGGTAGAATAAAATTTTTAATTTATTACAAAAAAACTGTTTGTTTGATCAACCAAATATTTTTGTTGACCTAATAAAAAAAATTTGGTTGAGCTAACCAAACATTTTTGTTATGCCAACAAAAAACACTCAACCAAACTTTTTGATTGACTCAAACAAATAGTTTGGTTGCTTAAATATCAACAAAATTTTTTTGTTGGCCCAACCAAATTTTGGTTGCTCTAACTTAACATTTTTCTCAGTGTATATTATATCATTGAATGTGAGAATTTATTATTGTTTTGTTCAATCTATTTTTTTTTTTTTTTTGTTTTTTTTTTGTTTCTTTAAAAATTTTGTGTAGTTTTGATATTGACTCAAAAATTTTACATTTTCACGTTAGAAAAAGTTAAAAATTCTTACCTTTAGCTTGTTTTAAAGAATATTGTACTCCAAAAGTTGACACTATTATGTATAAGAAATAAATTTCAAGAAAAAGAAAAATTTTAATGCAATTCATGTTGAATATAATTTTTATAAATATTCTTTTTTCTTACAAAATTTTATAATATACACAATAATTTCTAATGTTTGATGTTTTATACACAGTTTGCAAATCCACTGATTTATATACAAAACGTTAATATTATAATATACATACATATATATTATACTTAACAGAATAGCATCTGTTTGAATAAATTAATAAAATTTATACTCTATAAAGAAACATACATTTTTATTTTTTGCAATACAAACAATGTTTTGTCTCTCTACATTGTAAATATAATACATTATTACTATGCGTATTTATTGTTATTAGTATAAAGCATGTTTTATTTTTTTGTTTAAATTAAAAAAAAAAAATTTAAGACAATATCAATAATTTTTTTTAAAGGTAGATCCAATTGAATTAAAAAAAAAAAATTTAACTTAGTTTTTTTATTATTTAAATTAAATATTAGGCTAATTTTAATATTTTTGTTTTAAAATAATGCAGCATTGAATAATTTAACATTTTTCATTTTTTTTAATTTTTCGTCATTTCTTTTATAATCATAATCATCTACTGAAAAACAAAAATTTGTTTGATTCAAATAATCGGTTACTTGACTATTATCAAATAAATATTTATTTGTATCAAATAATTATTATTTGAGTCAATGAAATAGTATTTGTTTCAAATACAATTTATTTAATTCAAATAAAAATTATTTGGTTCAAGTAAATATTTATTTGATAATAGTTAAGTAATCGATTATATTTGAATAAAATAAATTCTTTTTTTCAGTGTAATAAAAGCTATGAACAATTTCTGTAAATTAAAATTTATAATTTTTTAAATTCTTGG